GTTTAATGTGGCGTGGATAGTAACCGGCCAATTTTGATACCATTTGCAGTGTACCTGAAAACCCCAACATATATAATTTCAGTCCGATGCACTTGATTTAAAAGCTTTAGTTTAGGCGTAGTTAATAAATGCAGTCAATAATCTTCAACCAATCTGTGAACAAAAATGTCGGGAACAAAGCGACATCGGGTCTAAAATGAAAATTGAAAAGTTGACGAAAACGACTTTGTGCTCTATGTCTTGCCATTTTTGCTTCCCACAGTCTACTGAAATTACACATTACATACCTCCGTACGTGTAACATAAGAACGATTGGTGGATATTCAATGAGCAGTCGCTTCTCTGCAGTAACTATTGCTTCACAGGAACCACACTTGTAGTCGCTCAGAGTCTCCGTCGCTACAGTCCTTTCTGTAGACTCTTCACATCCTTATCTTCAAGAGAAAACATTATTTCCAGCCCACTTTGGGATGAAATTGTTGTGCTTCCGCATTTTCCACAGGTATTTAAAAGAAAGGTCACAGATGATAATCTTTCAATTAGAAAACTCGTGATAAGAATGGTGGTGGTGAAAATGTTACTAGCTTGTTGTTCGATCCTGAATTTGGAATGCCGTTGTAGGAGAGGGTATGTCCAAACTGGGGGGTTAAAAAACCCAGTGGGGTTAAAAAAAATTCATGTCTGTGTGCGTGTGTGTGTGTGTCTGTGCGCACTACTACTCCTGAACGGCTCGGCCGATCTGGCTGATATTTTGCAGGCTTATTAGGTATGTTCTTGGCTCGGCACACGCGAAATTTCACTGTCCTAGCTCAACTGGTTCAGTTTTTACAGCCTAAAAACACCTAAAAATGGCGAAAAATCGAGTTTTCTGCAGGTTGATCTCTCCTGTCTTGATGAAAGGGGGGTCTGGGGGGCGGAAGTTGAAAAGTTACGAGGGTCAAGATCGTGTAATTTGTAGATGAAACAACTCTTAGATAGAGTGAAGGGGGGTCTGGGGGGCGGAGACCCCAGCGTGCAACAATGAGAAGTAACTGATGATGGACAAGCATTGCCTGCCGAAGGCAGGCTAGCGCCGCAGGCCAAGGTAGGTACGCCAGGCGCGGATTGGAGGAACAGGCCGCGAGATATCGCGAAGCCTGTTACGACAAGACGCGGTCTGGCGTAAACCTACCTTGTACAAGGGAACAATCAAAATGACGCTGCGCTCACATTTTCAAAATTTGAAGCACCACTTGCTAAAAAAGATCGAAAATAACTGAAAATATGTAAGTACTGACGGCACGCGTGCAGGTTCCTTCTCCAGTTGCTGAAGTAAGATACTCAAGAACTCTTCAGCGTCTTGCACGGCTCTTTCCTGAAAGTCCTTCCAAAAAGCTAAAGAACACATAGTTTGAAATTGCTTCTTGCAGTGAATGTTTTCTGGGCGCAACCTAAAAGCCACTTTCAGCTCACTATCGCTTTCAAATTCGTATAAATCTGCGATGGGTGGTGCCTTCTACTGATGTGCCTCTAATCAACAATCGGAGACAGAAGGCCCTCCTCTTCTACCACATCAGGGGGCAACTTAACTGTAAAATTGTACTCCAGCATTTTTTTTACTGCCTTCATTAAATGCACTGAATCAGGAAGAATGGTAACTTTGGCATCTTTCTGCACCGGATTGGGAAATGTGCCGTCAACGGGGGTAACTTGGGACACCGGGGGTAACCTGGGACAGTCTGCCCTGTACAGCTTGTTGGTGCTGCCATTCGGCGACGGGGGTTTCTAGCGTCAAACCCGCGGCAGGGTTTTGTTTCAGAGGCCTCAGGGCATGCGCGGAAAGGTGGAAGAGGTGCATAACATCACAATTAGTATTTGAGAAACGGGAAACTACCTAATAGGGTTTTTGACAAAATATGTCAATCATTGACAAGTTGACCCTAGTGCAAGGGGTGAAATGCAGATTTAGCCGATTAGTCTCTCTGGGTTGTTAGATCATACACAGACAATAACGTTCGCAAAAGGGCGTAGATTACCGTTTTCCCATATTCGGTCCAGACTTCAATTTATCAAAAATCGAAATTTTACGGGGTAACTTGGGACAGTCTTTTCCTCATGTTTCCAGCAGTCCTAAGCCTTCTAGGAGTTGACTGACCTGGTCCCTGACATAACTTAAACTTCGGATTTTACGCTGATGATGGAAAGAGATGCCTTGCTCTGCTGTTTTGTCTCCTGGTAATCCATATTTTGAAATTTTCAGAAAATGCTTGGATAATACTAGAAGAAAAGAGAGTTCCACGAAGAGCCCTAGGTATAGTCCAATATCGGTCCTACAATAGTTCCTAGGCCTGAATTCTTGGTCTTCATGTTGTGACTTAAATTTATTACATCCATTAACATCAATAGATGCATGGGATTTTAGCTAATTACCTACTGTCCCAAGTTACCCCCGGTCATGGGGTAACTTGGGACACTCTTTCGAGACCGCTGGGAAACGATATAAAAGAGGCAAATGCACCAGACAAGCATGAAATCATAGGGAAAGGGTCAAACTTTAACATAGTTAGGATCCATTGGTCTGGGTTGAGAATCTTGCCTCTGGCGTCCGAAAAACGTGAAAAAGTGTCCCAAGTTACCCCCGTTGACGGTGCAACTGGTTTCACTTTTACGGCTAGATGGTACACCACAAAGTTTCCACGCAGCTAAATTGTCAGCCCCCATATCAGTGGTCATGTCGCTCACTCGGAGACCAACTGTTTCAGCTTTAGTTATGATGGTGTCAATAATCTTATAGTAGGCGAGTCCAGTGGCGTTTTCCTTACTTTCCTTGGCCTCTGCTGACATGGAATTTGTCAACTCAACAGCGACAGAAATTTTCCACCTTCTGGAGATCCGAGCCAACAGAAAGAGAAGAGCTTTCTTTGCAACTCCACTGTGCGCTGACAGGGTAGCGTCTCCAACCCACTTTGTAACTTGTGTGAATGTGAAAGTTACTGGAGAGTTGAGTGTAAAATGCCCGAGTTTATTTCCAAGAATAGCCAGCTCATAAAGAGGGCGGTAGAGAGGGTGTGAGAGTCGTAAGTTAGGGCGCCATGCAGTCAGAGACTGCCCCCGAGCAAACAAAGCAAAACATCTGCATACTAAACTTAGGCTTTGTCTCAGTGTGGGATAACAGGGAAAAACATGACAAACAGAATAACATACATGTCATATAATTTAACTACAGACTTTTAAACACTATTCAAACAAATAACAGGAATGCAAATCATGAAAAAAGTACAATAGAAAAAAATAGAGTGTGGTGTGTTGCCCTGATGTGCTTCAAAAATTAATTTAATTTGGAGAAAATTTATTTAGCACAACTCAGGCGGGAAAGGCGGTAGGGAGGATGGCTTAGGTCCAATCTATCGTGGCGGCAGCTCCACGCACTCTTTCCTGGGGACGGGGGTGGCATGTGTGTGATGCTTGTTGCTCTATGCCTGGCTTTTTAGTAATTAATTGCCCACCTCCTAGCCAAGCGCCAAACGCGTAATGCATGACACGTAACTAGGCTAATGGTGTGAACAGGCCTTAATGACTGTCTTGCTGTAAGATCTTGCTTTATGCTTGTTCAGATGTGTGGGGTGAAAGGGAGGCTGATCCCTAGTAGTGTCATAGAAATGACAAGAGTGGCTTTTCATCTGCGATAGTTTTCAAGAAAAAAGAAACGGAATCTTGATTAACACTTTGGTAAACAAAGTACTAAACAGAATTTTTGAATTCTTGAAAACTATTGCTGATAAGAAGCCCATTCAAGTCAATTCTATGACGCTACTAGTGATAAGTCTCCCTTTCCCCCCCACACATCTGAGCAAGCATAAAGCAAGATCTTACGAGGACCCCATTTTAAAATATTAAATTACAAAAAATGTCCAAAGTCACTTCACTTTAAGCCAAAATGAAGCTTACTCAATTATCTGAGAGGGTTTTAACGCGGAAATTGTTGTTGGTCCAAGTTCAAAGCAAAGTACTAATTCAAAGTTCAATTCAAAATTCAAAGTCAAAATTTCAGCTCAAGCGGAACAAGGAACATACAACAAGAAACTAAATTGTTCATGGTTCAAGTTCAAGCAAAGTACTAATTCAAAATTCAAAGTTCAATTCAAAATTCAAAGTCAAAATATCAGCTCAAGCTGAACAAGGAACATGCAGCAAGGAACTAAGCACGAAGAGGTGCGCGTCAAAAAGCAAGCTCTATATACAACAGGAACTAAGCACGAAGAGGTGCGCGTCAAAAAGCAAGCTCTATATACAACAGGAACTAAGCACGAAGAGGTGCGCGTCAAAAAGCAGGATGGACTAAAGTTTCATAATGTATGTACATACAACCAACGGTGACTCTTGTTCCATCCTGTTCCATCTTGTTCCATCTAGCCACTTCAGTGGACAGGGCCGTTGGTGCCCGTTGCTGCAGCGGGAGGGGTGCACCCCGACCCGACCGCACCCTGGAACAATTCAGAAAGCACCCTTAAAACCTTACAAAGTATTTTGAGCATGCATACGTGCAAAGTAATTTAAATTGTTATACGAAGAAATAGTTCGTAAATTACAAAGTATCCTCCTTAAGTTAAGAGACAAGTTGAAACAAGTTAAGAGATGAGATCAAAGTTCCAGAGCTATTCAAAATATCTATCTAAACTCCTTTTCTAGTAAGTGCGGAGAAGCAGACAAGTTAAGAGATGACATCAAAGTTCTACAGCAATACTGTTATTAGACTCAAGAGTTGACAACAAAATTCCAGAACAATATTGACAGAGCATCCAGTGTTGGGAACACCGACGGGGAAAGGGCAGGTAGGTCCTAACAGTTTACACAACATCCCCGAAAAATTTCATGTCAGCAGGGCACAGCATTTAGTGTTTCCACAACAAAACAACTCACCCCAGTAGGCCTCCTAAGGGGCGGGTCCGGCCGAAGGCGCAGGCCCCTCAGCGCATACCGGTACCTCCGGTTCCTTCTGGACGGTAAGTCTTGCAAGTCGATCACTGCAACACAAGCGACATATCATGAGCAAACATGTTTGCTTTGGCAAAAGCTCCCAATAATTCAATGTCATAACATGACTAATAAATGGCACAAGGAAGAAAAGACGCCAGATTAAGTTTTCATTCATTCATTCAATGACATGACCAGAATAATGAATGAGACAAGAGGCAAGAGATAACAGGTCAAGATCTCAGCCCGTTCATCACTGTTCCGACATAACCTCTCACGCACATGGCCGAACATGCAAACCACGTCCGCAGGAACAGAAGACACTTACTGGTGGTGGTAGATGAGAAGAAACTGATAACGGCGAAGGTAACGGATATCCGGCCGGATTAGGCAACAACGAGTGATGTGCCGGAGAAAACGGCATCTTTTTATAAGAAACATTTCTGCGGCTGTCAGAAATCACCCGTCTTCTTCTTGCGCTATTCTTGGCTAGGGGGTCTCTAGGGATGTCAACCACCTGCAGCAGCAGGTGCAAAAGCAGCTGGAATGACACCTTTTTTTGGGTGCTGGAAGGGTGTTTCATGTCATCTATGATAGCACTGTTGGAATGACATATTAATCGCTCGTTGACATTGCGCTGAATGACAATTTAGAAAATTAACTGCCATTCACTGTCTATACCCTGGTCGCGAACCTTGCGCTCCTTGGCCTGCAGGGGGCGTGGCAAGGGGGAGGGGGCGGGGCTGTAGCCGTGCCGGCAGGGCGATGCCGACCTGCAACTCTTTCTCTTTCTGCCGCCGCCGCCAAAGGAACACCGCAAGCAACAAGTAAGTAGGTGCAGGTGTGTGTGTGTGCGCACGTGTCTAAGATTGTACCTGTCAACTTGTTAACGGGTCACATTTTGGGGATATAAACAAGCCATCCTAACCGAACCAGCACGCCTAGCAGAAAGCATTCTTCGATCATTTTGACAGCAGCCCTAAGCTCTGGATGTTTAGGCCCCACGTTAATGGGAGCACGGTTTCGCGTCAAAATTATTGCAAGGGGCGAAGCCCAGGATCAAGTTCAGTTAATTTTCGGCCAGTGAAGGCAGCAGTTCCGCCGGATAACCCAGCTTTAGCGCTGAGAATGCAGGTTGGTTTCGCCCAAGTTCCTTCATGCACCTTGAATATACGTGCAGAATTGAGTAAATCTACGTTTTCCAAACGCGGATTCGATTTGCATAGCATGACTGAACGTCATGGTTATGGGTTGGCCCGTCTGCACACCGTTGTGTGCAACACTTTGAGAATTGCGGGATTGCAAAGTTGAAACCTCTAGACCCGTTCGAAGAAACATTTTTCCCAAATACAAAATAACCACAGATTTAAACTCGGAGACTCTTGCCCAGTGCCTTGTACCATGATGCCTCCGTGGAATATGCATTTCAGTGGAATTAACGTGTGCAGATAATAAATTTAGAGCGTCTCCCATTGGCCACATAACCCTACCACTCATGTCTTAAAACTAAATGATACACCGTTTGTTTGTGTTTGGCAGGGCATTCTGGAGGCAGCCCTAGGCATACTCGGAGATTTCTGCAACATTCATTAAAAATCATCATATCTGTTGGATTGTCTGAAGGAACTTCGATAATGGCCCCATCAAGTGTTGTTCTTCTCATAAGCCTTTCTGCACCCAGGTTCCGCTGTCATGGCTGCATACAGTGGGCTTTTCTCTCTGCAAGAGTGTGTGCTTCTGGAGCCTGGATGCATTAATCGGGTGAGTTCACTGCTTGTGTTGAAGTGTCATGTACGGTGTGTAGGTCTGTGTCGCTCATACGCTTTCGTGCTCTTTGCAGTGGGATGCAGCATGTTCCTGCAGATCAACGGACCCTTCATGTTCGCGTGCGGTTGCCAATGACATTGTATGTGAAGTATTTCGAATTGTTCATAATTAAAGTTGAACCTTGCATTATCAGTGCCTCTGTAAGGATTGGGTTGGCCTGTTTAAATAAAATTTTGCATCTTCAGTTATGAAAATTTATTCTGTAATACCAACAAGAAATCCACTATCATGAATCTGGAACGCTCCTTCCACTCAAACCTTGGAGGCCATTACATCTTCTGTTGCATTACATGGGGAATTTACTGCACTTGAAGCTCAGTATCGTAGAGTCTCCCATAGACTGACTGACCTGGAGCTACAATTCACATCTCAACATTTCCCCCTCTCATATTATTACAAGAAAGACCTTCAAATTGTGTGAAGCTCTGCTCTGACAACCCTTTGTCCGCTCTAGGCTAGGGTTCTTTTTCTGTCTCTCCCTTCTTGAAGCCACACAAATAAATAAAGTTGGATGAAATAATTGTAAAACAGAACACGAGAGAAATTACATTTAGAACAGTGGTTTAATAGAAGAATAAGTTGATGGCAAGGCAACGATTTTCAAATACAAGCAGTGAATATACATTGAAATTGATAAACAACAAAGAAACTATGAAAGACTATTAACTATTAGAGCAAGACTGTTAGCAACAACAAATTTTAGGAATACAAAAACACAGCATCTATACAGCAAACAATTTTTAGAATATTACTGGATAAAGATAATTTAAGAAACCAAGTGGAAAAGATTTACAACAAAATTGTACAGACAGTATCATGGAAACTTAATCACAAAAAACCAACCACAGCTGCAATACACATCACAATAACAACACTGTCACAATACACAATACAAATGAACACTAACTTTGCATTAACATAGGCCTTTCACGACCACAACCCCCGAAAACCCAAATAAAGGTTTGGCAGAACTAACTTTAATAAATTTTTTAACCAAAAAAATCAAAAAATTTAAAATTTTACAAAATAAGTTGTCAAAAAAAAAGCTCAAAATTAAATGGTTTGCCAAAGGAAGTTATTTTTTTCATGTTTCATTGGAGCAGGAAATGTTAAATGCTTGTTTTTTAATTTGCAAAAAAAAGAAAGTCATCTACTTAATAAGGCACATTTTTTTCTATCATATTTTATGGCAATTTTCCCTGCTTTCAGTTCCCTTTTTGGGGGTTGTAAGGGGGAATCTCATCTTCGAGTTTAAAAGTATTCGACAATGCTGCACTCCCAATTTCCCAACATGGGTCTATTTAAGGAAATTCCTCGGGGCCTTTCTGTCCGTTCCCTTGGCAAAAAGTGCCTTCACCTGCTGTCCTGCAATAAAAATTAAAAAATTAATGGCTGGCCACAGTGCATAGGAGACCCTTGTGTGTGTGTGTGGACACAAGAAAGGTACTCATTGTAAATTTCCTCTTCGCCCTCTGCCTCTGCCTTTCCTGATGAGCGATTCTCACGTTTCGGGGTAGTTTCGTTTCTTCTGACTCCTGTGCCCAAAAGAGCGCAGATATCGACATGGGGTTTGTTTCTGATGTTAGGGAGGGCCATTGCCCACTAAACGCACACATTTCGAAAAGTTCCGTTCGTTGGATTGGTCTACGTAACGTTTGGAATACCCCAAATGTAACTTCCGTGATTGTCCAAAGAGAACATACTCGAACTTTCCGCCCCCAGTGTGGCGGTGTGGTTCGAAAATGCTGCCCACTGTCGATGGGGATTCGAAGCTTGGCATGTCTCGAGCTAATTTCAACCGAAGACCAATACGCCAGACTTCTTTCAAAGGTACTTATGCTGCAACGAAAAATGTCCTCCGTATATTCAATTTAACTACACAAATTTCGAAAAGGCAGCTCTGGACTTCTCCCCAACCAAACTTTTAACTTTCCATGACACAAGCCATCAAAGTGGAGTCCCTGGGATATAATTGCATGGGTCGCGGAAATCTGAGATGCTGTATACGGTCTCAAAGCGGGCTAGAGCATTATAAAATGGCGTGTATCAAAAATTTACCTGTAACTTCCGTGGCACCCTTTACCCAATGTTGCAGCAGCACTAGGTGAAAAAGTTTTCCGCTGAAATGTCGGGCTTAGAGTATCATTTGACCCTGGAACGACTTTGAAGCCACAGCAAACCCGAGTCAGCCGTTAAAGCTGATTTTCACACTTTGTAACTTCCGTGATAACGCAATTTCCGTGATCAAAACACCCACTAAAACGTATGGGAATACCTTATGGCTCATGTTTTTAGGAAGATAGTACAAGGTCTTTACTATAAATACCATTGCCATAACTCTAGTATCATCCAGGACCCCAATAATCAGAAAAACTTAATTGGATATTTCTCACTTTCGGCAAGAGACGCCAAAACTACCCCGAAACGTGAGAATCGCTCTGATGTGCTCGGTTGGACCATGGGTGCCGGGACTGCAGAGTTATTACAGGAAGCATCTTCTTCCTCCTCTGCATCTGCTGGTGCTGCAGATATATGGACACAGCTAAGCACATTGTGTGCAAGGCCTCACTAAATTTCACTTCCAACTCTTAACTCACCCTCAGGCATTGCTTGTTCGGACTGTGCCAAAGTTGATGACTGGCAGTATGACCGCTCTGTGGAACACCCTACAGCGAAGAATGACTTGTTAAGAGGCCCCTCATAAGACAAAGACTTCATGTTAAAAGATTCACGTAAACTCACCAGCCTCTGTGTCCTGCGGTATGACTTCATCATACAGACCAGGCACCTGGGACTTACGAGCCACCATGTCCCAATCATCACCAAGGATCGGGTTCGGTTCCTCACTCTGTACAGCCTCTCCATCATGGATCTTCATTAATCTCTTCGCGTACTCCTTGGCATTGGATATAGCTGCTTCATCTGTTTTGCCGCAACCCATGATGACAACCGTGCCGCAGTAAGAAAACTCAAACAAATCTCCAGATTCGTAAGGGACTCTAATCACTTCTCCCAACTTCTTTCCCAAAACATTACTCACAATACCTACAAACAAACAAGCCGAAAATAAGGTAAAAAATCAATTGTGGGTCACGAATCAATTGTGGGTCATTTTTTTCGACGGGTCACCGCAGACCCGACGGAGATTGAATCGATTTGAATTTCGCGGTAGACCTTCCTTCCACCTTCCTTTGTCTTCCCAAATAGCGTGTATGTCCGAGCGACGACTGTGACGGCTCCTATTAGGCTTCGAAGGAAGGCCCTTCAAAATGTCGAGAAAATGGCGCCCATCCAACGAGGCGAAAAATCGTATGTTTTTCAAATTGCCACCGTGAAGCTATTACGAGATAAAACGGGACGCCCTTGCTGATTTAGGTTCATAGTAGGTCAGGGAACATAAATTTACCATAGTACAGCCGAAATCATTCGATGCCATGGTGCGCGGGTGATGGCAAAGAAGCGTTCGCTTCCATGTCAGATCCATTATTTTAAACAAATTTCCGGTAGTTTTCTGCTATTTTTTGTTTGCTGCGCTTCTGAATGACTGATGTATCCCAGTAAATTCCATTTTCTGCTCTGTCACATTTAGTATTACGATACGAAGGTTATGTTAAGCTACAGCCCCGAATGACAACGCTAGCTCTTACTTCCAGTCTGCCATCAGGCTTTTTTGTTGGGGAGGGGGGGGGGCATTTCGGGGCTTACATAGCTCCCGGAAGGGAACCGCTCTCCAACTGCGGGCTAGGCACCCGAGGCCAGTCCGGCCCTGTTATAAGGAGTCAAATCAATCCCTAAAGACTATATATTCTGACTGAAATGGATAATAAACAATAGCAATACCTCATGATGACAGGGTGTGGTGTTGGATTGTCTACCACACCGGCGGCCCTACAATATGCACTATAAAAGTTTCGTCTCTAATCCAGGACGTTTAACTCACATCTGTCTCACAGTGAAATTAGCCTGTTTATGTATTTTTCCTTTTTGAGTGAAAAACGTGTCTGCTTGGTTTATTGAGAACCAGGGACCTTTAATTAATGAAAATAAGAAAATATCTTGCAAAAGTGGTCAATTTACAAGCAAAAAGACGAAATGGCCCACAATTAATGTGACCCACAATTGATTCATTGTCCTACATATCCTGCAGTTTTCACGATTCCGAAAAATAAATTCAGAAGTGAATTTCTCTCGTATTTAAGCAAATCATATCCAAATTTGAGCTTCCTACAATGCTGACCCACAACTGGTTCCAAAAATCAATTGTGGGCCAAAACAGACTATTTTTAAAACAGTCACAGCTTAATAAATAAGGATGATAGACGGGGCTACTATGCTGCAAAACTTAGTCCAAGGACCATAGTTTAAAGCCGCACATGCACTTTTGTCACTAGGTCAGAATTAAAGGCCTTAATTTCGAATTTTCAAAAATGTGACCCACAATTGATTTTTTACCTTATCACGTGGTCTTTGTATTCAAATTTATTTTACGAACGAGATGAAAGTAAACGGATTTCTATGGCACAATAAATATGCACTGTAAAAATTAATATCCGGAATAAACGACGGATCCTTCGGCAAAAAAATTGCCAACGGTTCCTTCGTTAATTGATCCAGGAAGCGGAAGAAGGGATTAACTTGACTTATCCCCAAATTGAGTTTTTATTTTATTATTGTGCCTTAGAATGGTTTACATCATTACACCAAATTATTTGACTGAATTCCAAGCAGTTTAGGAGAAAATCCACTAGGAAAAAGGGTATAACTCAACTTCACCCCTTTTACAGTCTAAATTTCATTGGAAAATGGAGATAACTCAACCTTAGTCTACATGAGTCCGTTTGACAAATTGGCAAAAGGATATAACTCAACTTGTGTTTTTATGAATCTAGTGTAAAAAGAATCAACTCAACTTAACCCCCCCTTAATTTTAAATTTCAATTTGGAAAAAAGAGCTAAGTCCAAAAAATACACCAGAGTAACATACACTTTATGCAGACTATTGTTCCTTTTGACTTGTCTCCAAATTCCACTTTGTTTAGGAAATATAAGGTGAGCTGACTCTGTTTTCCATTTCAACGGAAAGTGATAAGTCGCAGAAATCCTCTACGGAGTGACCTTACACTTTTGATTTCTTTCCAAAATTTTACTAATGCTTTTTGAAATTATTAACATCTGCAACATTCATTTGTTTTGTTTTAATTTTCCTGCTAACAGTTTTTTGTTTCTCCTGAAAAATGGCCAAAATTGAGTTATCCCCTTCTTCCGCTTCCTGGATCAACTCATATATTACTTCGTACGCGGTGGCTATATTACCCGTATATTACCTGTATATTACTATATATTGCTTGCATATTACCATAAATTCGCCTCTATAATACCCCTATATTACTGTATATTACTTTGTATTACTTTATATTACACTTATATTACCTATATTACTGGTAATATACGTATACTCCCTCGTACACGGCCAAGGGAAGTTGCCGACCCGCGCTGCGGCGCTAGTCTGCCTTCGGCAGGCAATGGCTTGTCCATCGTCGGTTACTTCTTACTTGATGCATGCTGGGGGGCTCCGCCCCCAGACCCCCCTTCATTTCTAGATCCCTTGTGACTTTTAACTGTCGGGCTGGGGGGCTTCGCCCCCAGACCCCCCTTCTCTAAGGCAGAGGTGATCTGCCTGCAGAAAAACTCGATTTTTCGCCGTTTTTAGGTGTTTTTCGGCTATAAAAACTGAACTAGTTGGGCTAGGATAGTGAAATTCGCGTGTGCCGAGCCAAGGACATGCCCAAAAAGTGTGCAAAATCTCACCGAGATCGGCCGAGCCGTTCAGAGGAGTAGTGCGGACACACACGCACACACGCACGCACACAGACAGGAAAAACTTTTCAACCCAATGGAGTAACAGGCTTCGCTATCGCTCAGCCAACAAGCTGTTAACAGAATTTCCGTAGCTTTTTGCCACAATGTATTTCGCTGTTTTGATACTCCAAATGGGTTTTAATCATTCTAGAATGTTGAAAAACTGAGGCCCATCTCATTTCCAAACCCTTCTGCTCTTTATTTTGTTTTATTTGCTTATTTGCTAATGTCCTGTATTTGAGGGCCGCGGCCGCGGGTATGAGAAATTGGTAAGTGCTGCCAACCTAACCATGCTAATGACCTGATTCAAAAATATGTTTTGACAGGGAGGAGGAGGGGAGATAAGCGAGCGAGCGCGTTTGGGCTGTAGGCGTGCACGGGTAGTGCCGAGCGGAGCTTGGCCGAGCTGGCCGAGTCGAGCGCAACCCGAGCGGCTCGGGCCGAGCCGAGCGCCGGCCGGCGAGCAGCCCGACAGCCCATGGCGCGCAGTAAATACATCAATCTAGGAGTTATTTTGACGCGCCGCGTTAATGTTATAGGCCTATACTGGGTGAAAAAGTACACTGTAAAAATTAATATCCGGAATAAACGACGGATCCTTCGGCAAAAACATTGCCAACGGTTCCTTCGTTAATTTACGAAGCTCTTCGTATATTTACAAAAACCTTCGTTTTTTTGAAAGATCTCTGCTGATTTTCAATCACAATGGAAATTACGAAGCACCTTCGTAAATCTACAAAGATCCTTCGTAAATTTACAGGGAACCTTCGTTTATTAACAAAGAAACTTCGTTAATATACAGAGATTCTTCGTAATTATACGTCTGGAATTAACGACGGATCCTTCGGCAAAAAAATTGCCAACACTTCCTTCATTTATTTACGAAGGTCCGCCGTAGATTTACGAAGACCCGTCGTAGATTAACGAAGCCCGTCGTAAATTTACGACGCCCTTCGTAAATTTACGACAGATTTGTAAATATACGATTCTTCGTAAATTTACAAAGAACCTTCGTAATTAACGACGAACCTACGTGATTTACAAAAGTTCCTGTAGGAAAGAAACATTTACAGTGCACTTTTGGACATTCCCAAAAACCCTTCGGAAAATATTTCCGTCGTAAATTCACAACATATTTTACAGTGTACGAGCGAGAAACACGCTGTGCAAACGGTTTGATCGCACCACGTCTAGTTTGGGTTTCCATAGCCCTCCATTCAAGTCGGAGGAACTGGGGGCCACAGTGGAGGGCTATGGAAACCCAAACTAGACGTCGTGCGATCAAACCGTTTGCACAGGCGTGTTCCTCGTATTTTTTCCCCCAGTATAGGACTATAACTTTAACGCGGCACGTCAAAATAACTCCTAGATGATGTATTTACTGCGCGCCAGGGGGCTTCGGGCTGCTCGCCGCCCGGCGCTCGGCTGGGCCCCGGGCCGCTCGGGTCGCGCCGGCTCGGCGCTCGGCTCGGCCCCGGCTCGGCTCGGCCGGCTCGGCCCAGCTCCGCTCGGCCTACCCGTGCACGCCTCGGACAGCCCAAAACGCGCTCGCTTCATCTCCCCTCCTCCTCCCGATTTTATCAACAGGCAGCTTGCATGGAGTGTGCCTCCAAAAAAAATTTTGGCTCTCCTTGAGGGATGATTCATACTAGAGGCAAAAAGATATGAAAACCCCAATTTGTCGGGAAATAATGTTGTCAATTTGAAGACTTTAACTGAAAGAAAAAAAATTACATGCAGGGGCAGATTTTCTAAAGATGATGCGGGCTGTTTATTTGAAGGTACTATCATTGAGGGGGCACACCAGTGAAAATCGTCAAATTTTTGCCTTTTTTTTTATTTTATCTTATTTTTCTGCTATTCATCCCAGGCGAATGCCGCCCCCCCACACCTAAATTCCCCTTACTTTGGCTTGTGCACTTTTTTGAAGTTGAATGCGGTTTGCGGCAAAATTTTCCCTTTAAAGAGGATGCTTTACCCGGGGCCCCGGGAGTGGGGATTCGCGCCCCGGCGGGCGGCAGGCGCGCGCTCCCCGTTTAAATGTAACGTCGCCGTGGCTTCAATTTTGATCCGATTGTCACGAAACTTGGCAGACGCGTTCGTGATGCCCTAAAGGCAGCCCTCGCTCGTTTTTGCCGCGTTCAAAACCGTTCTTTTGAACATTTTTGAACTTTTTCGTTCAACAGGTTTCGGCCACATCAGCTCAGTTTGGGGGCAGTATTCCAAAATCGGAGATCAAGGTGAGATGCGCGCTGAATTTTTTAAGTAGCTTCCCGCAAACGGATCGGCAAAATGTTGAACGACCTCGCTTAAATCTTTAAAATACAAACGCCCTGCAGCGGCGCGGACGGTGTGGATCAGCCCGGCCCGGCTGGAGCGGCTCGCCACGGCCTGGTGCGGGGCCCCCTCCCCCACCCGAACCCCGCGCAGCGCAAGCCCCCCCCCCTCCTCCGCCGCCTAGGCCAGCCGAGGAAGCGGGGGCAGGGGGGAGGTGACAATAGGTGCATCCGCACGTGCAGTTTTGTTTCACCGCACCCGCAGGGGAATAGACAGAGACGTGAGCGACAAGAACGCGACCCTCCGAGCCGGGCGAGGAGGCTCCGAAAACCCTCTGCCCGATCGCCGGCCGCCGGACCGCAGAGATTTTATGAAATTATGAGAACAGGGCCAAAATCAACCTTTTCACGAAAAATCGTAGTTACCCGTTTCGAGTCACGCTTATTACAGTCTTCATCGGCAAAGAGTCGACCGGGAAAGAGTCGACTTCGTGCGACGGTCCCCGCCTTTTGCGGCGGGGGCGAGCTCGAGCCACAATGGTTTTTTTGGCCCTCCCGAGCTCGGAGCACTACCGGATCTTTTGTCTACCCAAAAGTGGGTGTTCGGTTTTTTGTGTCGGGAAAAAGTCGAAGTCCCGGGCCCGACCGTCGAAATCTTTGCCGGTGAAGACTGTATTTCTATCCTATCTCTAACAAGCTAGGGCCCGCCCTTCCGTCGAACCGAGTTGCCAGCTCCGCTTCGCTGCGCCGGCAACTCGGTTCGACAGGGGGCCGGCCCCGCTTGGCCTGCCGGCGGCCTTTTCTCGGGCCTTTGGCCCTCGCATCATACCAAACCTGGCCAGTCGAAGGCCCGGGCCTTCGGCCCGCTCGCATCACACACACCCTGAGCGGGTAAAGCAAAGTTATCGATGTACCATCGCGACTAAAGGGCCCCCCCTTCTATTCCCAATGCAATAGTCCTTACACTTTTTACTCCAACTGTCCTTAGAAATGCCCATTTCATTTGTCTCTTCGCCCTCATTCCGAAAATACCCATATTTGCCATGCTACTGCAACTCCTTGCAATAGAGGCACAGCAGGAGCGCAAAACGAGTCCGTCGCACTTTTTTCCCCTAACTCATGAAGGCGGGCTCCTGGGCCCCCCCTTTCCCACCCCCCGTTGAAGAGGGGCTTGCCAAGACCTACCAAAACTTAAGTAAAAATTTTTAGTCGGTCGACCCCCCTTTTTTTAAGATCCTGATGTGACTAATAGACGAAGTCGGGCTCCTGGACCCCCTTTTCCCACCCCTCGTTGAAAAGGTCTTGCTGAACCAATCGAAATCTGCAAAATTTTTTTAGTCGGTCGACCCCCTTTTTTTTAAGATCCTGATCTGGCCAACTTGTAAAAGCGGCCGATGGAGTCGGGACCAGGTCCATTCATCTTGTCTCGTCGCCCCGATTCCAAAATACCCCTATGTGCCTGCTAGCACCAATAATGGCGGAAATCCCCCTCCCGCTCATGTAACCCATGATGCCCTGAGCAGCCCTTGTGCGACCCCGGGCGGGATTTTCACCACCGGATTATTTTTT